CATCATGAGGAGACAGCAAAGCTTAGAGAAGACAATTATGCTGGGGAAAGTGGAAGGTAAAAGGAAGAGGGGCCAACCAAGGGCAAGATGGATGGATGGCATCCTTGAAGTGACTGGACTGACTTTGAAGGAGCTGGAGGTGGTGACGGCCGACAGGGAGCTCTGGTATGAGCTGGTCCATGAGATCACGAAGAGTCAGAGACAACTAAACGAATGAACAACAGCAATATATTTATGGTTTTATGTCCAAGCATTGAATGTTCGCCGTATTTATGTTGTGTTCTGCTCTGAGTCCCCCGCAGGGTGAGAAGGGCGAAATAGAAATGTTTTGTAACTTTTTGTGACATGGTAGCATGTTGCCATCACAAAATATGCTATTTTGAAATTGGGTCCATCATTTTAAAACAGCCGTTATTATCATTACACAAAGCCACAGGACCTAAACAGAAGCCAAAAGAACTCAAAAATGTCTTCAAACTGCACTGCCCCTTGGTGGCAACCGGCTGCTACTACCATAAATTATTTCTGTTTTAAAACTTTATTTCAAGCTTTATTAATATTGCGCATTTCACAAATTGTTCGCTTGTAATTACAGCATAGACACTTCCTGAACATCAATGACATTTTTGAGTGCAAGAGCCTGCTGCTTAACTCTGGAAACTTTGCCTGCTCCCATCCCACCCCCTGGCACTTTTGCATGTCACTGAAGAACTACTCAAGTACAACAGGACAGGATAAAACACCCTTCCCTCTTCTTCTTTCAAGACAGCTGCATTCTGTGAAAAAAATGAGATGCAACAGCAGGCATACACAAGGGACAGAATGAGGGTAATCAGAATAATAAAAATCCAAAGTGGAAAATATATATAGTTTTCCCACAAAGGATTGTTGCTTTGTTTCCTAGGGCACCGTGGGCACAAATGGTCTTCTAAGGTTTGCAATGACCACTCTAAGTCTTGTGAATGCTCAGAGGTAGCTGAGACTGGCTGCCTCCTTGCTGAAAAGGTAAGAGAGTTTCAAAAATTCTGATAGGCCTTTGGTCACCTTCCAAAAGTTTAGACATTTAACTTGATATATTTTTGTATAGCGATGTGTTTTAACAACATCAAAATGCTTTTAATGGTCTCTTTAATTTATGTTTTCTATTATCAAGTCTTGTTTCAAGTTTTAATTATACTTTTTTTTTTGTCAAAAACGCAAGTCAAGATCATGCTCCAAGTGTTTACAGTATTTCATCAAATCTAAGGCACACTTTTTTCCTGTTAAAGGGGCTTCGGAAATGAGCTTGCTAAAGGGGCTTCGTAAGATTCACCAATTATTATTATTATTATTATTATTATTATTTGAAACACAAGCTGAGTCCACAGCAAACAAGGTCACTCTGCTGGCTGTTGTATTGGATCACATGTTGGACACTTCCCAAGTGTCTAGGACTGTGTGATGTATCGGCAAATAATGTGTGCAGATCCCAGTAGGGTGGCCTTTTGCAGCTGAGCATGGCAATTTTGTCAGTGCCAATTGTGTTTAAGTGTAGATCAAAGTCTTTAAGCACTGCTCCCAGTGTGCCGATCACCACTCGGACCACCTTGACTTGTTTGTGTCAGCCTTTGTTGTTGTTGTTGTTATTTCACTGGCACAAAAACACAGTATGTCACAGCAAATCAGATCTATATGCTGGATTTCGTATCAGAAAATCACAAGTTCGTATCAGAAAATCACAAGTTCTCAAGCATCTAGGACTGTGTGATGTATTTTTGAATGATGCGTGCAGATCCAAGTAAGGTAGCCTTTTGCAGTTGACAGATCGTGATTTTGTCAATGTTTATTGTTTCCAAATGCCAGCTGAGATCTTTTGGCATGGCACCCAGTGTGCCAATTACCATTGGGACCACCTGTACTGATTTATGCCAGAGCCTTTGCAGTTCAATTTTGAGGTCCTAATAACGGTTGAGTTTTTTCTGTTTTTTCCCCTTAATATGACTGTCAGGTGGTATGGTGACATCAATAATCCAAACTTTTTTCTTTTCCACAAATTGTGATGTCTGGTGTATTGTGTTCCAAAACTTTGTCAGTCTGGATTGCTTAATGGCTTAATTCCAAGTCATTGGCCATGTTAGGTCAAATGGAGTAAGGCTGAGAAAAGACACAACAGAATCAGTGGTTGAAAATCTAATCTGCCAAGCAGGTAGCTAAATAAGCAGAACACGCAGGTCTCTGTGATTTTCTAAGTACTGATCAGCTACTATGTTCCCATCTGGCAACGCCAAATATAGCAATCAGGTGATAGAGGAAGCTATTTTCATACATTGCCATGGCAATCTGCTTCCTTTCCTGGGTTCTTGTTGAAAGTAAAGTCAGCAGATAGCATACAAAATTGAAAACATGTGTTAGGCATAAAGATAAAAAAATTGGCAGATTTAAAAAAAGGAAAAATAGAACACCTGATGGGGATAACCTATCCTAACATCTCTATTTTTTCTCATTTCCCCTAAAAATTGATGTAGCAAAGGCAACCAAGTAGTCTATTTTTATATAGTGGTCAAGTGTAACATGTACACCCTTCAAAAGTGCCATATACTTGTATGAACTTTTCACAACAACATATGAGAGCGATTGAAACTCGCTAGAAAACTGACATGAGGCCAATGTCAGATTAATCGGACCCCAGAATTTCAGCCTGTAATTTTCAGTTGACAGTCCCATTAAGCTTAGTTTAAATCAAAGCTGAAGCATCCCGTTTAAAGCTTTTTGTGTAGCAGGCTGGGGACAGATCGTGGTATTTCTTGCTTATGACTTTCTCAATTTGATGCCCCCCCCCTTTTATGGTCTAGTGCTGTTTGCTTTCCATTACTAGCATTCACCTGGTGCCTATAAGGTAAAGGTTTCCCCTTGACATTAAGTCTAGTCGTGTCCTACTCGGGGAGGGGGGGTAGTGCTCATCTCAATTTCTAAGCCAAAGAGCCAGCATGGTCCATAGACGCCTCCAAGGTCATGGGGCCGTCATGACTGCATGAAGTGCCGTTACCTTCCTACTGAAGAGGTACCTACTGATCTACTCACATTTGCATGTTTTCGAACTGCTAGATTGGCAGAAACTGGGGCTAACAGTGAGAGCTCACCCTGCTTCCTGGATTCCAACTGCTGACCTTTCGGTCAGCAAGTTCAGCTGCTTAGTGGTTTAACCTGCCGCGCCACAAGGGGTGCACCTATACATTCTCATATATGCATTCACATTCACTGCTGTCCAATTTGTATAATCAAACAGTGTAATAGACAGATTTTTAAATACACACTCACATTTATTGTGTATGTATTCATGTTGTTTAATACGACAATATTTAATTACGAAACCCAACTAGAATCATTATTGCTTGAGTTTGGCACCATTTATTTTTCTGTAATTACTACTTTCTTTACAATGCCAGCCTCAGGGATTCTGTGGCCCTTCTTGTAACTCTACATTTACCACAATCATTATTATTATGAAAAAAATGCCAAAAAATTAAAAGGAATGCCTGCAAACTACAAAAGTGACTTCTCCAAAGAGCAGCTCTATAATCAGCATCTTCCTGGTAATTATGGTAATGGTGTAGAAATCCAGGCTAAGCTCAAGCTCTTAACCGGTGGTTTATGTTTCCTGAATACCAGCTTCCAAGTCTCACAGCACTGCTAACAGCTGGTGTGTGGGAAGACCAGATGCAACCTGAGCTACAGAAGCTTTCTTAAACAAATCTATCAGAACCGAACACATTCTGTAACATGAACCTCCAAAACTATCTTGCCCAACTTTCTGAGCTGGAGGGAGCACCATGTGGTCTCCATCTGTTTTGGTGGCCTTCCAATGGCCATTTCTACCACAACCTGGTCAAAAATTGACTTTAAACAAGAGGCACCATTTATGTTTGGGAGGTTAACCGTAGTGGAGACAAGGTTATTAGAACTTCATGTGTCCAACTGGTCTTATTTTCACCAAAAATGAGTCATACATTGTATTCCAAGTAGACTTTCTGTATATATTTCAGATTTCAATATTAATAGATTTTCTGTATATATTTCAGATTTCAATACTAATGTCAAAAATACATAACATGATTTTACATATGATTTTGTGCTACATTAGAACTGTAAAGACAAATATCACTTAAGTAAAATAAACATTAAATATTAAATAACTGAAAAAATAAAATGTGGAAACAAACACTAAACGAATCTGGGAATCTGCTATTGCAGCACATCCAATGAGATGGTTTAAAACCAGTATAAAAAAGATTAGGACTAAGTACATTCCAGTCTACTTGGAATACACTTGTCCTCCATGGCTACATTTTAGCTCCCAATATGCACAGAAGCTGCTCAGTCCTTTCCGCAACCTGAAGTAAGCGCATTCAGTGGTGATTCTCTACTGGTTATACTTCAGTCGATCCTGGGGATATCCACTTTTTCAGTGAGGAGAAGCAGCAGTAAAAAAAGCCTGACCCAATAGCTTTATAATGACAATTTACTTCTTTTGTAGCTATGGAACTTTAACTATATGACATTCAAAAGGCAATGACAAATGATGAGGTCTTACTTTGTGACTGCTTTTTCTACCTATTTAACACTATGAATTTGGAGTGCTAGAAAGCTGTAACCACTCACTCTGCCACTATCACATGGGACGGCTAAAACAGATATTTGTTCATGAAGAGTTGTGGGGACTGCATAAGTACGTAGAGCAGCTTGATGGTTACTAAGTGTCTTAGGACTATAAGCAGCTCTGTGCTCCTTCTTTTCCCATGTTAAGGCTCAGGGCTTTCCAAGGCAAGATAAGTCAAATCCAACCATTGAGATTTTGAACTCAACTAGATTTTAACTAGGAAATTAATATAGTCCCATTTTCAAATGTCAGGTGCCTCCCCCATCCCCATATTGCATCTTAGAGCTACATTATATGGTCAGGAATAATAATAATTCACATGTGATTGACATTGCCTCTCAAAGAATGAATATTGAAAACAAAGCACAGTACACTTATTTATTGAAATACTTGAAAAGGCCAGTGATGGCAAAAACAGGGTTGACAGGAGGAATTTCATTTAATCTTGTCTTTGTTTTGTGTGGTTTGAAAAATTGTCACCGACAGGTAATTCCAGTCAAGTTTATAATGCAGTGCAAACCATGCAACTAGTCTACTACAGAGTAGAATAAAGCGCTGTGTAGTATTTCAGTTCTATTCATACACAGTGTTCAGAAGGACTTGCAAAAGTGAAGGGATGAAGCAAACACTTTTGGTGAATTATAAACAGTTATACAAACTGACTGCCCAATGGACTGGAAAAGGCTACAAAACATCAACTGGGAAATGAGAGAGCCACTGAGTGGCACATTGCGCCAGATGTTGACAAGTGGCTGGTGGTACTTGTTACTCAGTGAAGAAAAATTGAGCCATTCTTTCTCTGCTCCTCCTTGAGCTGTGGCACATTTAGCTATACAATGTAGGACACACACAGAGAAAAAAAGTCCAAGTCCGGGAAAATAGGCCACAGTAGAATACTTTTGTAAATTACAACTAGTGGGTTAATGAGCAATTATTTTTTTAAAAAGTAGAAGAGTCCTTCCTCCCCAAACCCCGTACAGAGTTCTCAAAAAGAGAAGTTCAGTTGCCAGTGAAATAAATAAATAAAGGAAGAGTGATCCTGGACTTGAACCTACATTGCTGAAAATAAATTCTAATTACACTCTCTCACTCCATAACAACGGGACTTCGGCTATTCTAGGGGGACACTATGCCTCACTGCCTTAATATGTACAAGTTATTTTACAATAATTCCCTTTTGGCCTTACAAATATAGCCAATGGTAGCCACTGTAATGCAAAATCTCTTTTCCGGAAGCTATGCATTCTGCAAGTTTAGAACTATCATTTAAAATAATCTTATCCATGGATTACAAATAAAGTAACTCGCATATATAAATATTTCTAGCAGATTTAGAATGTACATAAAAGTTCCCCCCACCCCCTTTTGGTAGGTCCCTCCCTTCCCAAGAAAGGTGCTTTCCTCCAGATCATCGCTGCTTTAGTAATGCTCTGTACATGGCGAAGCCCAAAACAGCAAAGACTGTAGCACCAAAACTTGCTCGAAGCCAAAAGGTAGAGCTCTTGAGGTCAGCTTGCGTCACGTGCCTGCAATACAAAGAGCATTTAAAAGAAAATGAAATAACCTCTGAATGGTAACATCCAACACACACACAATGTACACGCTTGCTCTTGGGAAACTACTGCACCTGTCAGTTTTAAGCCAGTTGGAGAAGCTCAATTATTTCTTGGCAAATGGCCTTTTTGCAGTAACTGTTGAGAGCACTGGTGTATTTACTTGGTTACTTGGTCAACCAATTTCAAAGAAATTGTTTAAACCAGTGGTTCTCAACCTATGGGTCCCCAGGTGTTTTGGCCTACAACTCGCAGAAATCCCAGTCAGTTTATCAGCTGTTTGCATTTCTGGGAGTTGAAGGCCAAAACATCTGGGGACCCACAGGTTGAGACCCACTGGTTTAAACCATCTCACACTATCACTCTTTGTTGGCTGGGATTAGACTGCATAAATAACTTTGCTGCAGAAAGCTGTAACAGAATTGCTGAATTATTAGTAGGATAACTTTTAAGGCCTTGTGCTTTAGATATGTCTGTGTTTCATGCTTTAAACCTCTCAACATTGTGAAACAGTGGTCATTCCTCAATGTTCATTCCACTGTGAACTGATGTGTGTAATATTTTCCCATGAACAAGAACAGTACTATGGTGACAAATGTCTTAGTCGTATTTGAAGAACACACACTCAAGGCTGGCCATTGGCATTTTATGTCTCCTAAGCGCTAGCACCATCCTTCCCTCATCCACATCTTTACAACCCATGCGCCTAACTAATATGGATGTTTCTACATTACTAATTAAAATTTGTCCATGCCTTTTTATCATCAATGTTATAAAAATAGATATGGTGAATAAGGAGAAGCAGTGCTTCTAGATGGCCTCCACACAGTCCCTATGATCTTTATAATGGCATAGAGCATAGCTAGAAAATGACTGACCTCCCATATCATCTAGACTGAATACTGCACCGCTTGGGACTTACTGGAATTTTATGTCAACATGTTTTAACCCTGATGTAAACTACTGATTTAAATATATTAATAGCAGACCTTTAGGGGGGGACGGGGACAGAAGACTAGAGAGAAAATAGACTAACCACTGTTCAGTTCCTAGAAGGCTGGGGAAGCAGTGGCCCTCCATCCCTGACTACCAACGTTGATGGCCTGATGGGAGTTGGAGTTCAACGACACCTACAAGGTGGCCGTTTCCCTTCCCCTGTCCTAGACAGAATGGCAGGTGTGCCCATAAGTACTTCTTCATGTCTGCACCTTTGACATGAAACTTAAGTCCGATGGCAGGGCCTATGTGTAATATTTAATCATTCACGCCATTAAACTAAATCTGTTATGTAGGTTTAAATGTTAGTAAAACAGGCACTGATATTAGCAAAAAGAAACACAATGGGACAGAACAGCATGAGAATGGTGGATGAAAGAAAGCCATAGCAAGCTTGACAAGACATAACACCAGTGGCCCAAATCTCCCCACACATTTGTGAACATGCTCAGCCAGATCACATGTGCCTTACCATAATCTGATAACACAAAACATTTTCATGCCAAGGTTATTGTAATGACCTTAAGTCATGGCACACTGGTTCTCAAACTGAGTGTTCCTGAACAGATTTACGATGTGCCATAGCACTGAAGACTAGAAAGAATTCTCCAGCCAAGATACTTTCAAATCCAAATTAGAACTAATGGGATGACTACAAAGGTACAGGACACAAAGAACCTGTACATATTCACACTTCAAGCAGAGCAAAATGTGAAGTACAAGTTAAGGAACTGCCAGGTTCCTTCAGAAACACAGGGATTGTGCCATTGAAGGCCATGTTGGGCAGACATGGCTTCTAGCAAACCAATCAAGGCTGTGAAGGGAGCTGCGGGGGGACAGAATGGATCAAAAGGTAGACGCTTGCCTCTGAGAAGGTTCAGACAGGGCTTGAAGCTGAGAGGGTACTGATCTCACATGGACAGCTGATAGAGGCAGAACTAGCTATGGACCTCTTCAACTTTTTTCACTCACCACCCTTTCCACTTGAGAAATATTTACACAACTATGTATAGGTATATAAAACTGGTGTACAAATGCACCAATCCCTTCTCTTTCTAAGTTCTAATGTACCACTTTCCCCTTTTCCCAGTGAGCAGCCCAATTCTTCCTCTTTGTCCATAGGCCTTTTGGTCAATTTTTGCAACCTCCAACACCCACTTGAAGAAGCTTTGGCTAAAGAATATTACCATTTAATTCATTTTTCTGCTGTGTTAATAAATCTATTCTTGCGTTAAACATGTCTTTGGCTCCCTGAATTACAGTCAAATCCTGCATACCAAAAACTAAATGACCAATGCAGCCACATTTAAAGGGGTCAGTCTGAAGCCCAGTAACCCACCCAAGAAAGGGATTTAAATAGTGGAACAAAAACAGGATGAGTGGCAGGATTCCTACGGGCTGGAGTTCGGAGATCGGCCTGGGTAAAATGATTGATCATAGTTACAGGCTGTCACAAACAGATTGTTATTTTACAGGCAACACGAAATAAATCATTCTTACAAGCCATGCAACGTGAATGGCTTTGTAAGTTTATAGTCAGGAAACCTGTGAAGCTACGTATAAAAAAAATACACCTGCAATGGATCTTCATATTGTTATTTTTGTTTGACATATTCTTGAAACAGATTAAAAACAAATGTCTAGTATGAGTTAGTATTTGCCAGGTCTTGAAAAGCAAGGCATTTGTTGGGGTTTTCCTCTAGGGAAAGACTGGGTCAGAACCCTGTTACCTGTGTTCAAGTAACTGTGGATCAAGAGATGACTCCATGAAGATGGACTCTTCAACAGAGTGGACGGCGTGTACTTGGTGAACAACACTGCTCTCCCCATCCGATAACAGCATGGCACCCAACTCATCTATATGGGCTCTTAACCTTTTTACACACATGCACATAGTTGGCAGTTCATAGCATTGCTCAAAACAACATGTTACATACCAACACAGCTTATAATAGATATCCATCTCTTTTTAATAGGAAAGTAATTGCTCTTGTGCGAAGGTTAATAATAGAATCATAGGGTTGGAAGAGACCACATGAGCCATCCAGTCCAACCCCCTGCCATGCAGGAAAAGCACAATCAAAGCACCCCCGATAGATGCCATCCAGTCTCTGTTTAAAAGCCTCCCAAGGAGGAGCCTCCACCACACTCCGAGGCAGAGAGTTCCACTGCTGAACAGCTATTTAATAAAATAGCAGATGTAAATTATTGATGGATTCAAATGGTGTGAAGATGTAGTCTAAATAAAGTCTTGAATACGGGTGACGTGACATGGCAATTTATCTTCTCAGGTTGTCTTGTTAAACATAACGTGAAATACTTTCTCAAACTAATTTACACTGTAAATTTAAGGAGGATTTTCCCCTTAAAACTCTTCTTTAGTCCACAGTGTTTTAAAATTGTGTCTGTAATGAAATATATTTTTGTGAATACAAAAAGGAAGTACTGTGTTGAATTTACAATGAGAATATTGTATTAGCCAACACTGATTTTTAATGCATAGGCAAATGAAGGCGTATTTGATGGGATACTTGACTGCTCTTTTAGTTCTTAGAAAACATTATGTTGTAAGGCATCAGCAGGGAGACAGGGGTTGTTATATGACCCCTACAGCATTATAAACCAAGCATCAGCCCTAGGACCCTGTGCTCCCTTTTAAACCTATCATTTTGCTCTAAAATAAATGTGTTTAAAGCACACTGTTTTCCAGGTTCTTTTTAAAAGATGACCAACACTCTGACTACAAAAATCACAATATGAAGCAATCTTGTTTAAAAATAACGCTGAGCAGTCTGGAGGACCCAACACATAACAGATTACCAAATGCAGGGGGGAAGCTTCTGAGCTCTTTGCAGATACAGGGTTGTGTGATAGAGACAGTGTGCCATAAAGGGTCACCCTGCTAAAAAAAATGGATTAGTGTGTTGTACAAATACAGCTGTGGCATATTTAGGTATTCATATCCCAAGAACTTGTAAAAGGTTAAATTCTATTCACAAAGAAAGCACTTTATATTTTAATATCTTGAGTTTTTGAAAAAGCACCTAAAGATACTTAAAGGGATATGGTCTTGCTTCTCTTATATGTATTTCTTAACAAAATGTAATAAGGAATCTGTTTAAAGGGACATTGTGCCAGGAAGATGTTTGTGTGTTTTTTAAAGCATTTTAACTGTACCCTCAACTTATAACACAATAAATAAAAACAAATAACCAGGAGAATATTTTTAGATTATGAAGGACATTTAACCATCTTCTCTATTACTTAGGCCCCTTCTACACTGCCATATAAAATCCTGATTTTCTGTTTTGAACTCGATTATCTGGCAGTGTAGTCACATAATCCAGTTCAAAGCAGATGTGGATTATTTGATTTGATAATCTGAATTATATGGCAGTGTAGAAGGGCACTTAGGGCCCTTCCACACAGCCCTATATCCCAGAATATCAAGGCAGAAAATCCCACAATATCTGCTTTGAACTGGGTTATCTGAGTCCACACTCGGATATTGTAGGATTTTCTGCCTTGATATTCTGCAATATAGGGCTGTGTGGAAGGGCCTTTAGTTTAAATTTTAGTCCCAAGCTTTGTTTTGCACTTTTGTGAGCTGGGTCCCTAATGGGATAATCCAAAAATTAATAGATTATAGAATTAGACACGAAAAAAGAAGCACATGTAGGGTTTGAATCAATATGGAAGAACTGAGCCATCCATTGTTGTTTTCCTAACTTAGAAACTGACAAGTCTGAAAAAGAGAAGGGCAAGACTTCCGATTTTGCAGCATCTTTGATATTGTGAACAATTTTCACAGAAAAAAATCATTTCCTCTTCAAAGCTCTTGATCTCTACATGGGAAGAGATGATGGGATAGGGTACCAGGCCCATCACTATTTCCCTATTGCATCAAACCAGGCAAGCAATGCCTGCCTAAGGCTAACTGCTGTCCAACATGTCAATGCAAATATGCATTTGAACTGCCTGAAGAAAAACACTGTGAAGGAATATATTTAAACACCATAAAATAACCAGTGTATAGTCTTGTGGGGGGAAAGCCAAAGGGGAGATGTAAAGCAATATGACTACTGTTTTCTGATTCACAAAGAATGATTTGAACCTATGCAGAATTTAGTAGGATTTTTTTTTCAAATTTGAGGATAATACAATTTTATCAAGCAGTAAGAACTCTTAGATGATATAAGTAAAGTATCAATCTGTTCTGAATGTTTTAATGAGCAGATGCACAAAGGTTTATCAAGATTTTGGATCTTTTTTTCAACACAAAGTATTTTATGTTAATAAATGCAAGATGTGTTTTCCAAGTAAAACACAGACAGCTCTGCTTTGGAAAGAAACTTTGAGCTAAGTTCTACTTTTATTCCTTCAGCTTTTAGTCATTTGTTATTTTGCAACCAGTTACAAGAATGAATAAGACCAGTTACACAGAAACAAAAATGTTACTTGAGCAGAACTATTAGTTTTGCATGTGGATCTCCCACCATTCGATACAAGGCAGAAACATATAGAAAGCATAAAAGGCAATTTAATGCACTGTTCGGTCCTTATCAACATTTCAGAGGTGTTAATAAAAACGAAATAGAAGCAAGATTTACAGCAAGACTCCAAAATTGCTTAATTCTTTCAATGGGGAACATTTTAAACAGCACCATTAATTTGCAATTAAGCCACCAAATTAGCCACATGTATAGTAAGCAACAGTTCAGGTGGACAAACATGAGGTAGGGTTCTATCACAATTGTAAAGTAACTTATATGATGGCAGCCACCATAAATTAACCTGTCTTAATTACACTATAGAAGGAGAATTGCTTTCAATTGATATCAATTGGTTTTCTCCCAAGGTGTTTTTTCAAAGACCCACTATTTGTAATTTTGATCCTGCAGTCTCTCAAAGACAGGCAACTGTGCTTTCCTGTCTCCCTGGTAATTTTTTTATACCAACCACATTTCTCAAGAATGCTTTTCTAATTAAAAAAAGGTTTAAACATCAGTTGGGATAAAGGGGCAGAATCATTTTGAGAGGAAAGGAAATATTAAGAAGAGGAGAAAGTTTGCCTGGGATTAGGTTACTTTACCTGTTTTGCCAATGTTTTGCATAGGTATGTAGGTACAACACTGAAGCTACCGTAACAGTGACTTTTTTTCTAGAGACACACCCAAATAATAAATAGGATCTGACTAGAAGGAAGTAAAGCAGAGATTGAATGCCTTGTGGTTCCATTAGCCCTCAGCTATATATCTCATCCTCAGAGGGAGAATACCATTCATCATGCTATCCACACTTCTAGCACAAGCCTGTAATAACCGCATGTGCTTTTAGTCTCATCAAAATTTAAAAGGAATAGTATATCATGCTTCCCCAGATACCTCGAAGACAACCCACCTACACCAGAGTGGACTGGCACTTACAAGATCAATGGGCCAACTGTGCAGTACCAAACCTATGTAATAATATACACCTTTAAATAGGAGCCAATGATTATTTCCACACAATATCAGAAAGTTAAAGCTTTTTTTAAAAGTCTCTTTTGAAGCTTCAATTATAGGAGGAAACAAAAGAGCTATAATGCTGTTTATATCAACTGAGAGACAACTGGCTTTGTAAGATCATTTAGCTGCAAATGCAAATTCTTCATGAAGTCAAGCAGTACAATATATCAAATTCCTGATTTCATGTATTTTGAATTTTATACCATAACATTCTTTTATCATACTACTCTTTTTCATGAAGCTCAAGATATTAACATTCTCCTGAACGTTTTCAATGAAGAAAAAAAATGTTTTTCCATTAGGATAATTTCATTTTCTTTGTATCAAGGAATTGGTGGGAAACTAATTTTGAACGGAGACTCAACTTTATTCATTCTGAGATTCACACCAGAGTGCTGTAAACTACACATCTGGATCAATTCGATATTTCAAGCAAAGGAGATGGACACACAAGATCAGCCCCTAACACCAACAAGGCATGCAAGTGACCAGAAAAATCAAGCCGATGAGTTGTAAACATGTAATAAATTAGATGGCATACTCAGAAATAACATTTTTAAAATGAAGCACAAGAATGCAGTAAGAGAAGAGTAAGTGCCAGCCAGGTAAATGAAAGTGAACACCTAAAGAAAACAAACAAATGAAATATATAAACAAATATTAGCTAATTTTTCTAAGATGAAAACGAGAATGTATGGTCCTTCACAGCTTTGGATTACAGCTCCTACCAATCACAGTCAGCACAGTCAGTCAGCAACATCTGGAAGGCTACATGTTATGGACAGCGGTTTTAAGACAGTTTTTGGCCATCGGTATTGCATCCCATGATAGGAAGACAATGTATTTCTATAAAAAGAATTACATATTCAAATGTCATGAGGATCCACCACCCTTTTATTCTCCAGGTGATAAGGAGATTCCTAACTTCAGTGTTGGCATTCCCTATTCATCAGTTAACATCAACTGCTAACACTGGCTGTTGCTTCCTAGAGCTGATGTGAGACGCAATCCAATGTCATCTAGAGGGCCACGGTTGCCCACCCCTGCTTTACAACTACATTAGGTAACACACATGAAAAGTACACTGAAGGAGCTCCCTTGTAAACCTTCCACAACATGAGGTCTTTCATCTCCATAACAGCATGAAACCATTCTATTGGGCAATAGCAAAACGAACATGCATTATTCAACAGTAAATGCCAAGTCTAGAATTGCCTGTGAATCTGTTTTTCTAAGCAAGGGCATTTAGCTTTGGGAAATGCCTTCTTCTGGGGCTGATGCAGTAATTGACAAACTGGATGAGAAAGTAGTTTTTTTCCCCTCAGTCTCCCAGCTATTAAGCTCTCTGTCAACAAGAACCAAATTACCAATCCAAAAACTAGAAGCAGGGCCTCTTGCTAAGGTCTTGTTTGCACAATGACCAAGAAACAAAATCATGCAAATGCATCATCCTAGCAAATGAACAAACCTACAGAATCTATCTTGTTCATAAAATGGGAACAATACAAAATTCAGCACTGTCAACTTTAGTCTGCCAAAATGCTTCCAAAATCTTACATACAGATTTTTTTTCACTCCATATTTTTCACTTAATCTGGCTGTCACCTTTTCCAAGAAAGTTATTTCCATTTGAGATACTAAAGATACTAGAGATTAGACCTGGATCTTTCTGTTTTTGAAGCAGGACCTGTCACGGAGCTATTGCCTCTCTACTGGGCTCTCCCCAAGAGAAAGTACTCTTACACTAGGAAAACGAATAGGCTAGGGAGACAACTTGGCTAGTGACACCAGAGGGAGAGGCAATTCAGTCACAAGACAGCTCACCTACAGTTGGAAAAACGTCACTTCAGATGTACATTTACCCTCTAAACTCCACTCGCTTAACCTGCCAGGACCATCTTCTTCTGAGAATGAAAAAGTTCTCATATTTGGAAAATAAACTTTTGGAGGCTACTGCTTCCCATAGTGAAAACAATAAATCTGCCAGGGTTAGAGGAGAAAAATCTGCTCCAATCTTGTTCTGAAGTTTGGGTGCCATCTATACAGCTCTGGCAGAAGGACCTTTGTCCAGCCTGACCGCCCTCTTGACCTCAAGAAAAGAATACATTTTCTTTGGGTGTCCATTGCAGGAATGATAAGACTTCAGACATGGCACCAATACAATGCTTAGTTTTTTTTCTTCTTCACTTGAGAGAGTTAGAGGTCAAGATAATAACCTCAACCTTCCTGTCTTAGTTTTAGAAGACCCGACTAATCCGAAGCTAAACTACAGAGTGAACTATCAAGGAGACTTTCTGAGCAAAACCTAAGAGGCTTTCTTCCTTCTTAAAATTTCCCAACACCAGTAAATTACTTTGGAGCTGGACTGAGCCCATGACAGAAATACAAGGTGTGGGGTTCTACCCTACAAACACTTTCATTTTTGTTTCCTATTATACCAGAGCTTTCCAAATTGTGCCTTAGAGAAATAACCAAGGAATCGCATATTTTAAAAATATAAATGAAAGGTTTTCATGAGATATATTGTGTCCCATACATTTCATTATTACAATATATGGTTGAAAAGCTCTGTACAATACTGTTGAACACTCATATTTTAAAATGGACATTTTGTCACAATGGCTTTCTTCCATCTTATTCATATAACTATTTTTTATATTTAAATTAAGCAATGTACATAAACTTTTCCAAATCAGACTTCAGAATCTATTCTAAATGTCATTTTCTGAAATATCTGTTTACTATTATAGGTCTATTAAGTCCTTTTTACATATGTGCAAAGGAATTTGACAGACATACACAGAGCTGTATGAATGGTGGAGCACTATTTGCATCACTTAGAAATCTTTAATGAATATGTCTGGTACTAATTAACAAAACACATGTATTCCAAACACTAGAAGTAAATTTGACAACTATCCAAAATATTGTATAAACCCACTTAAACAGATTAATACTAGAATCGGCAAGTGAAGGTTTTTGGAGAAGTCTAGCTTCCAAATTATGCCATCTAGCCACATGGGTACCAAGCAAGAGTCAAAGTATGGTGAACATAACTTCATCAGTAATAGAACATGATGGCAAATGAGCTTTTATGGGTAGATAAAAGGATCATTGGTCCACTATTCTTTATCCCTTTCTCAAAATTGCCCTATGGAAAACAAGTGATTCTCAAGACTGTAAATAATTTTTTCATTGCTTAATCTAGCTGTCACCTTTTCCAAGAAAGTTATTTCCAAGATCTATATCAAAATGACGTATATCTCCAATTATGCAGCTAAATGAAGAAACTACAAAGGATTTATTGATTTTAGTAGCTATTTTAAAGGCAACCTTTGCATTGCTAACTGCTGTGATTCAATATGACAGTTGAAATAATCACCTTTGGGACAGAAATGTTTTAAGATGAAAAGTAACATTTCTAACATTGTCAGCAGCATGTGCCGGCGCAATGGATGTGGAGTGAAGGGTCTGCCCCAAATACAAAGTGCAACAATTTGTTTTTTTAAAAAGTAATCTTAAAGCACGCCTGGTACCTAGTAAATAAAATCAAAGACCTGTTAAGAACTGCAGTGAAGAGTTTGTTCTTTACAGATTGCAGCAAGTCTGAGTTGAGGAGGTTCTGACAGATGCAAAATGTACACCTGTTGCAGGCGCACATACAGCGTAACCGGGCATGGCTGCGAAAACACACAGAAGGACAGGAGTTGAGATCTCAGGCAGAAACCAGAGCTGAGCCAAAACCAAGAAAAGAGGGAATACCTTGGGAACATGGGGGAGGCTGGGACTGAGGCAAGGGTAGGCTAACACTATGCAGATTGTCAGGAGACTTTTAAAGAGAAATGCATTGCGCAGATGTGCTTGCAAGAGAGAAAAAAACAACTTTTATTTTAAAACTAGCTTAGAAAGAGAAGTAGAATGGAACTTCTCCTTAAGCTATGGAATAAAAATGGAATTAAGTTGCATTCTCAAAACAGAACAAGGTCTTTAAAAGCCAGCTACCCTTACCTCTTCTATCCCAACCAACACACACATGCTTAATATCAGGGAAAGATCAAGGAAAGAGAAGAAAATTAGGTATACTATTGCATATTTCACATTGGCCAAATGCATTACAGGGAGGGGGAGGAAATCTGCATGTAAGTCCCTTGCCCTCCATAACTAGACTTTCCACAGAATAGCTGAAAAATACAATCCTGCAGCATTGGTGCTTCTACCTTTAAACACTTCCCTGTGCTCTACAATATCCCAGAAACATTAAAATGATGTGAGAAAGAATTAGATCTATGGATTGCTGTGAGTTTTCCAGGCTGAGTCGCCATGTTTCACCCACATTTATGGCAGGCATCCTCAGAGGTTGTGGGGTCTTTTTTTCCAACAGACCTCACAACCCCTGAGGATGGCTGCCATAGTTGTGAGCAAAACATCAGGAGAGAAGACTTCTGGAGCATGGCCATACAGCCTGAAAAATTCACAGCAACCTAGTGATTCCAGCCATGAAAGCCTTTGACAACAAATTAGACCTACCATCCATGACTATATCTATCTATCAGAAATCATTGACTGAAGAGATGGAGAGCCCAAGACGGTATGTATGTCAGATTACCCACTGTAAGGACAAAGCAGGTGAAGTTTACTATCATCTTAATGTCCTTCAAAGCTTTAAAGAGAAAGTAGCTAGCCCTGAAAAGGGAATCCCAGTACAAGCATGTTGCTTTGCAGAAGAGGAAAAATAATAACACACATTTGAAGTCCCAGCATTAAATAAAGGGAGGGAGACATCTGTTTTTCCACCAGCTCTTCACGTGTATGTTGAGTCCTAGCTGAATATCAGCTATTTCATTATATATCTGAGCTTTCCAAATTCTGTTTCATGACAAGTTAGTGTATTGGCTGCAACGCGTAGGCGTGTCACACAAAAATAATGAAAAATGACAAAAATCTTAGAAATGCATGATATGATATAAAAAGGAGAAGTTTTCATGATATATGTTGTGTCCCCATATATTTTGCTATTACAATGTATGCATGTGTCCATCTCTCTCATAAAGGGTAGGTTTAACTTCATTTTATCTAGTGAAATTACTGAATGACTGCGTCAGGAAATGATGCACGTCTAAAAGTGTGTCACCAACATGAAATATTTAGAAATCTCTACTGTACATAACCTGTTATTTTAAGTGTTGTGTGACTTAATGTTGTAGAAAAGGACTAGCCTACTAAAAATGAAGGCCTAAATCCATTTGTCAGTCCCAACTACACTAGATCCACTGTATTAACTGCTAAATAACCATAACTAAACACCTAAATCCCATCAATACAACAGGTCTACTCTAGCTCAGATTAGGATCTGGGTTATAAACTCTAGGTCACATACTACATTTGCTTGGCAACAGAGCGAGATGCTTAGTGAGAGACAGCAACCTTAAAACATGCTAATCCTCAAGCCTGAGGAAAGTCTATAAAAATACAAGAAACAGAGGAGAGCTATTACATTTTAGCAGTTACATGTGACCTATTCAGAAATAATAAGCAAGAGAACTTTCATGAAGCATATTTCAGCAATGCTGCTATTAGGAAATAATTAGGTATCACAGAAGATTATATCCTAGCCTAATAATATTTGCAGACCATTGAATAATTATAGTGATGTTGCTAAAATAGTTCTGTTTTTTCACATCAATATACTGAGATAATACAAAATGCTCTGAAGCCTTTAAAATCACTAGTTACGTCACTGTTTTACATTTATTTAGGTAACTGAGCACAGACTTGTAACAATCATATGGACAGTTAAAGCATGTTTTGTAATCAAAATAATACCTATCAATATTATGGTATCATTGTATCATTTATGAAGCTTTTTGCTGCTTTAGGTTAAGCACTACAGATAGAACATTTGTTCCATGTTATTTAGGTAGTGACAATTGAAAGAGAACACTATAGCTGTGTTCACTTCTGTTATGCTGTAGCATGTTCACCTTCAGCTTGCTGGAATGTTCATCAGACGAAAGCAGGTGGAATAGTCAGAAGAAGCAGCAGGCTTTTGCTCAGGCCCCAGAAGCTCTCAACTTAATTTATGAAACTTCTTGCGCTGGCTAATGTGTGGACTAGCATTTGGCTCTCTTTGGAAAATTACATCTAGACTAAGAAACTGTTTGTATGTGTTGCCCCACATCGGTTTCAAAATCTACATAGTATGTAATAGACATACAAATAGCTGGTATAGATTCGCCTAAACACAAGGTCAAGGTCCAGTAGGATTTGTGACTTTTTATCCTCCTTTGAATTTTGTTCCACTATGCTACATCCCAAAAGATGCTTACCCACCACTACTTCAGATTAATTTTCTTGTGTGGCATGGAGAGATGCTATTATACCCAAAGCTTCCTTGGGCTTGTGGAGTCAGTATCACAGTTCTTTGGCCCATAGCACATATGCCAAGGGGCTGGTTGAAAAGATGTCCATATTCTGGCTAATACAGGAGACAGGTAATCAGATGCTATCTTGAGAGCCAAACATTCTCTGTGTTAGCCTTGTATGCCTTTCTGAAAATGTGTGATTCCACATCAATGATTTCCAAAAAACAAGTGCTAGCTTCTTTTAGATATTTTAATTACGTATGGCTTTTTTTCCGTAAATTGAAGCCTATTTTCCTTGGGATATACAACTCTTTTGTTAATGAATGAATAATGACAATGAGCAATGCAATGCATGCATACATGGAGGGAATCGAACTCCATGTCTAAACCTTAATTAAATTAGGCAAAACTGTTTCTCAAAAATACACTATGTGCAGTAATAGCTGGCACACAGGCATTTCTAGACAATTTATTTCATATTTCTTTGTCAATTCAGTGATACATCTTTCCTTTTAGTCGCATCACTTACATCTCCCTCTGTTGCGAAACATAATTTCAGTGAGGCACAGAGTTCCATCCTTATGGTATTTACAACATGCAAGGTTGTTGTGAACCATGCAGCATGAATTCTGAGGTGCTATGGATACTTACGGATACATGGCCATCATTGTAAGCTTCACAAAGATGTCCTTACTTGGTGCATCAGCTGTGTTGCAAGAAAAGGCTTGTGGTGGAGGCATTTTGTGTTTTTTGCAGAAGTCAGCAGGGGAAAGGCTGTATTCCTGTTTAACATCATGCAGGTCTGACTTGGCAGCTATCACTAAACAAGGTATTCTGCTGTCCATGAAGTGTTGCTACGTATGTTAAGAAAGAAGAAAGAGCGTTTCAGTGCAAAATACAGAATGGTATAGAACTGCAGCTCTAATTGTATGAACCCAAAAACTTATGGTGTTGTTTACCCTACTTCTAGCACAGAGAAGTAGCTTTTGACATTGACATGAGTTTTGAACACATGGTAGTATAATCTGTAGACCAGTGGTTCCCAACCTGTGGTCCATGGACCACCAGTGGTCCGCAAGAACTAAAATATGGTCCGCGGTCTCACCGTTACTACATCGTTGCAATAAGAGCAACTGGTTTCGTGAAACTCTCTTATAGTGCTGAGGCAACAAGAATGTCAGGAGGGAAGAGACTGACTATCCATAAAAGGTGTGATAACAAGCCTTTTGACAGCTGCTTCTCCTCCTCCCTCCCCTTGAGTGGAGCCATTCCATGTGGAGCGTGGAAGCGGGGGTGCCTTGGTGTCTTCATTTTAAAGCCTGTTCCTGGAGTTATTTGCTGATTCAGAAAATTGTATTGGATAGACCACATCAGCTGTAGATTATTAAACATGATGTTCTGTGGGCAAGCAGATGGTGACTACTGGATGGCATGTCTGTATCAGAAACTAGAGCAGATGTGGTCTATCCAATGCAATTTTCTGAATCAGCACCCCAAATAACCAAACCAAGTCTAAAGTTGACCAAAGACTGATTTGTAACCCTTTTGATACTAATGTTGGAAACTGGTCCCTGGTCAAAAAAAAGGTTGGCAACCACTGCTGTAGACCAACTAAAGTGAAGGACAAACTAATAATTGCTCTATGGTAGCACAAACCTTAGTAGCTCTTTGGAGCTTGGTCTTAATTAAAGTATTCATATGGCAAAACTTAAAAGACTTACAGATAATAATAATAATCAGCACTCAGGTGTTATTTCTACCAAGTTCAAATGGATCCAAGTATTCTGAGTATTACAGTTTTTAGATTTGTTGGTGCCACTAACACTTTTTTAAACAAAACTTCAGTCTGTTTTCTAAGCATGTAGCATCTTAAGTATACTTAGTTTTATTTACATTTCAGAGACCTCAGTGCATGTACTCCAAATTAGTATTATGACAACAGGTGTCAATAAAATAAATATGTTTATGGGGTTGTAACAAGATATTCAGATTTGAATTTGGTTGCACAACTTTAGTATATTATCTACTTTTTCTCAGTATGAGCTTTAAAATCAGCTTTCAAATCTTGTTGTGAAATCTGATGGTTCTAAATGCGGGCTTCAGCTATCTCTTCCATTTCCTCACAAAATAACTTTCTTGAATGCTTCAAATTAAAACAACAATTTTGCAGAAGAAATGTGCACTTAGCATGAAATGTCCTTGCATTTACTACTAAAGTTGCATTTGCAAATGAAGACTGTACATCGGAAGTCCATGCCAGATTATCTTGATCACTATAAATTGATGTGTTGGTCAGACCTTTAAAAAATATTAACATTTAGTAGGTTACACCTGTTAAGGACATCTTACAGTCTACATGCAGGTAACTTACAAATTCCTTTGCAGAATTTACCTCTCTGGAGAAATTTTACTGTACATGAAGCAGCAATCAGATGAAGTCTTCTATTCAAGTAATGTATAAGATAAAAAAATATATACTTTTACTTCGTCCTGCTTCCATGGAGCTCAGGGTACTTTTCTTCGCTTTCTCTCCTTTTGGTGATTTCTACCTCCATTCCCACAAGAGGTTTAAAGTCACCATTCTATGAGTTAGCCTGTGAGAGCAAGACTGGCTCTTAGTGACCCAGCTTCAAGGCTAGTGGGAATCTGAACCTGAGGATCTCAAGTATAAAGCTGCACACTTTATGTGTGATCACTGTACCATGTTGTCTAAAAGTGCATACACAGTAACCAGAAGTTTACAGAGTTCCACATACTGGGCAGGGAGGAATAATCACTCTAGATTTTCTAACTTTGAATGTTTTTAGAAAGCAAGAAAAGATACATACCTTAAAAATCCTGGCACAGTATTCAAAAGATTTTGGGTTGCTAACATCATACACTAGGCATACAGCATCACACATGACCTCAGCGTCACATAAGAAATCAGAATCTTGAACATTATGCAACTAAAAAGAAAGAGTTTTCAAAATTAAAAAATATAGGACAAGAATATGTATATGTACATTCAGCTGTTCTTTTTCCTTTTAAGAGAATAATATACATAACCAACAAATATATTTAGTAGAAATTGACTGCTCTTTACTATGAATGGGTGGTGTGTGAATGCTGGTACATTTGCAATCTAACCAATGAATGTTTTCTTTTTATTCTTCAGGAGACCAAAATTTTACATAAAGAACCCAGGGACTTCTAAACTGTAGAATCTCTGTATATAACTTCATTAATATTATTCGCCAAATTGCTTATAGTCTAGAAATGGAATGTCACTTTCATTGGCTCAAAATATACCTAACTTTAATGCTGCCTATCATCGTTAGGCCATCTCATTGTACTTTAGGCAATCACTACATTCTTTCATATAAGAAACACTACCAGATTACAGCAAGAAATGTCAGAAAATCATGACAAAGTCCAAATTACTATAACTGGGAAGGTATGTAGCAACAGCAAAGCAAGCACAAATCAAGAATGCAGTAATGCCAGTTCCATAGGATGCCAGTCTCCATGTATGTGTGCCTGGAGGATTCACTGTTGTAAAACTTCTTGGTATACCACAAATATTAATTCTACTCCATGAAATGCTACACTTAAAATCTAATTAGACTACTAATTAATATAAAAACCAGTATACAAACAGCAAGCATCACGAGAGAAAGCTGCTTAGCATGGGTTGCAAGTTTCACAACTAATCATAATGCATCTGAATGTCTACGGTTGAGAAATAAAGACTATACAATTGTATTGATTTTTCAAGGGATACCAAAACTTTATAATGCCATTATTGATACTCTATTCACAGTCAACACAGAGGAAAGTTTCCTTATTAATTTATCAGTAAACTCTTACCAGCAAGTATTTTTCCTGCCCATATACATATACTGTATTAATTGCATAATAAGATTTGTGGTCTGGACGTATATGCTTCTGTCTCTGAAAGCATAAGGAATTCAGATATTAAAGCAACCATGTTCATATCTGACATGCTGATTTAACTACAATAAGATTATGAAGTATTATGCATAGAAATTCTCAAATGCCTCAGCTGAAGACTGTATATTTTTTAAAAACTACAAAATACTAATTATATATTCAAGTTTTCAATACATAAGCTTTCCCTTGGGGGGGGGGGAGGGGAAGAAGCAATATGGTACTCTAGTCATGTTTTTTTTCTTTCTTTCTCTGTAAATGTTGGCCTACGATGCCAAGCTAGAGCACCTCTACAGTGGTATTTATCTGGTCTAGACAAGGACAAGAGAGCAGATGGAGCTTTCTCTCCTGGCTATAAAGGACTCAGACCTCCAGCATCTTAGTTTTCCCTTCCAAACCCTAAAATAAGTATAAATATTGTGGCAGACCTAAACTACCCAGTTCTTCCACATCAAAGAAAGAGGGGCCATATAAATGAGGGTGGGACACAAAAAGGTAGCATAATTTTAGGGCTGCACTTGCTCCTGCCATTTCCGGGAGCCTTGAACAGGCAGGCAGGCCATTCTTAACTGTATTCATGTCATAGATTTTACACATAAAGATTCGTACCATTAGGTTTCTTCCAAGCAACGACTGAAGGATTCCACTTTTTCCACAGCCTTTTACTCCAATTAAATTACACCTGAACACGTTCCTCTGAGTCTGTTTTTTCTGGAGATCAATCTTTTTATCTCTTGTTACTTTAAAAAGAAAGAAGGCATGCAGATGTACACATTACAGGGAAATAAAACAAAAACATGATGTAATAAAGAAAACTTCTAGTGTCATTTACTCCTTTTAGAGATCAGAAGTTCATGATCAAACTGCCTGCTCAGTCACCAAAATTGCCTTGGAAACAGACATGGATATAGTGTTACGAAGGGAAGATAAAAGTAAATTCTCAGAACTTCCCGGCAAGATTGTCTGAAGTTTCTGAATGACAATGGGAACACAGTCACCTTTGTTGGAGGTTTTTAAACAGAGCCTGAATGGCCATCTGTCAGGAGTGATATGTATTCTTGCATGGCAGATAGTTGGGCTCCTTAAGCAATATGATGTAACTCCTTCACACAACAAAAATTGTATATTGTGCCAATCAAGATAGGGGAATAGAGGAGAGCAAGCACTATTTATTTATTTATTTACTTTGCTTATATACCGCTGTATCTCAAGCCCGAAGGCGACTCACAGCGGTTC